GTGTCGGGTTTCACCCTGGTTGCGATGACAGCCGTTAATCGCTGTAGTTTGTCGCTGCCCGTGTGTCGAGCCCTTTACTAGAGCCCCGTCTCCATGAGGTACTGAAACCTCACGGCTGTGCACGGTTGTAACCTAATGGAGACACATTTGGCCGAAGCTGAGCCAAGCAGAACCGCCGGTGTAGAAGGGGCTTTAATGTATCACAGTCAGCTGCAAGTAGATAATATTTCTGCCAGATAAATTATGTATTGCAAATTTGATGGCAGTGTAAAGGTTTATTAATAGCACTTGCATAAACGAGTCTGAATTTTAGAATTTTGGAGTTGTTTAAAGACAGGAAAGACTACTTTGGAAGTGGGTCAGATGATCCCATTGATAAGTAAATACMTTTAAATGACATCAAAGTCTTTCTAAAACAGATTTTTGAGTCCACTTCCTTTCTTAGACCTGCATCTAAATGTCAGTTTTTTCTGAACATAGGAACGATGTTTTTGTTGCCTTCATGGATTATTGTTCTCAGGATCCAGATGAATGATCTGATCGTGGAGGTTGATGGGACCAGTCTGGTGGGTGTCACTCAGAGTTTTGCTGCCTCTGTTCTCCGCAACACATCGGGCAAAGTCAGGTCAGTCTCTCTCTCACCAACACACACACACACACGCACACACACACACACACACACACACACACGAACAAGTTTTTATTTCTACACCTTCTTAGGACCGTTCATTGACTTCCGTTGACTTCCAGTCGTTTCTATAGCCCAGACGTGCCCAACCATTCACTCGCGGGCGACTAGTGCCCGCGATGCGCAACCTTACTCAAACAAGCAATGTTGCTATAGCCTAACCCTGCCTAAAAGGCCAAAACGCTCGTGGACCCAACCACTGATGATTAAGTCCTGAAATTCTCTTTTTTTAACACAAAATACGAGTTAGTACCGAGGTAGACCTTTTACTTCTGTAATAACTACGCAACTAAACAAGGCCTCCAAAAGAGATTAACCTCCCAAAAATGAGAAGAAACGTGCATCATCAATTCCATAGCTGCTTAAAGTAAACAAGAACCACAGTTTTGTCATGCCAGGGTTAAGGGAGAGCTTCAACCCAAAGCATACATTCAAGGGCATCCTACAATGGGACCTTCCCAAAACGCTCACACTCCTCTGTCTGTTCCCCCCCTTCTCTGAACTCTCCTCCGTCCCTATGAAGCACAGCRCATGACAAACACTCAACRYACTGAGTTCTACTCAAACAGTACGCCTACACTCACCTGAGTATGCCGGCCATATTCCACTACAGCTTACACAGCACGTACAAATCAACAGGCTGTCCCCAATGGTCTCATGCACTTCCCATAAAGATAGGACCCAGTGGACCAGGACTGGAATACTCCCCTAACCTGACCTCTTACCCTAAACCTGGCCTAACCCTGAACCATACCTAAACTCAGTTCACACCTTAGTTCTAAACCTAATCTCCAACCCAAAAATGGAGTTCCACCATATTAGGGCCAGTCTGGTCCTTTATAAAGACTACTGGTCTTGACAAGGTAGGTGTGTTCACCAGAAATGGTCCTAAAAWGTAACAAATACAAGATAAAATACATGAAAATACATGATAAAAGAGTGTGTGCGTAGCAGATCTTTGTGGTATAAACTGCATTTCTCATAACTTTTATTAGTTTGGTGTTTAGTAAAGGACTCAGGTTTGGAGTGGCTGCAGTTTATCCTCATTTTGTATTTTGTGAGTTTCCTTGTTTTGATTTTTTTTTTCAAACTTTCTTCATTTCTTAAAAAAAACAAAAGTAATTCTATGTCCAATAAAAAAAAGAAAATCC